TCCAGGTGATTCCACTACTGCTCCAATGCCCTGCTCCAACCAGCTCTTAGGCATAACACTCACATCGGCACCACTGTCCAAGGTTACTTCTACCAACCCACCTGGTGCGCACTGGCCTTCGGGATCTCCTCCCAATTCGTTCCAGTCGCTCTCGAAGCCGTCAACTCCAAAGACCTTCATGTACTCCACCCAGTCTTCGTCACCTGGCAGAGCATCACTTTGAGACATATCGAAACCCTCACAAGCTTCTTCGGGATAGGCTTCACAATCGCAATCTTCTTCGTCAAGATCATAATACACTGCATGAACCACATTCACCCACCATGTGTCCTCATCCTCTTGAACGTGATGCTCTCCACTCTCCAAATCGAACTGCTCAAACACGGGCTTACAGCAATTCTCATCAGCGGCGGCAAGATTGAACACTCGCTTCACATTGGCTCGGGAACTCTGAGAGGCTTGGGAGGTTTGGGCTGTTGAGGTCTGTGCCGAAGACGAGGAAGCAGGATGCCCCGAGAGCAAAGAGTTCGAGACATTGGGCTCTGCGACTTGATTCACCTGATTCTTCATCCAGCACTCTCGAGACCAATGGCCTCTCTTCCCACAGATCCGGCAAGTGTCGTCTTGTTTGCCACCTCCTTTGCCCCAACCTTTGCCTTGTTCTTTCCCTTTGCCTTTGCCACCCTTCTTGCCTCCATCCTTTCCTTTAGGATGGCCCTTCTTGCCGCCACCTTTGCCCCAGTGACCACTCCCACCGAACCCTCCTTGAAACCCTTTGCCTTTAGGCCCCTCCTTTCCTTTGCCTCCCGGTTTTCCTCCTTTGGGGCCTTTTGAGTACTTTCCCAAATCCTTTGCCATAAACCGCATCCACCTCCATGGGCACAGGTCCTTCATTGAGATTTTGGGAAGACGAGGAAGGATTCACCAGAGCTTGGCTCCACTTCTGAGAGGTTCGCTCCCAGCGCAACACAAGCTCGCGCAAGTCGCTATAGGTCGTGGTCTCGTTGATGGACATACTCACATGAGTCTTCACTTGTTGAGGTAAAGTTCGTAGCAGGATGGCTGTTTTCAGATCTTCTGACACATCACTTCCCGAAGCAACCTGGTACTTCTTGAAGAGTTCTTCCATCTTCAGCAATTGTTCAAGGAGGTTCTGATGGCTCATCACTGGGTACTGGGCAATAGCACCAAGTATCGCCAAGGCACGACCCTTGTTCGAAGGAGCAAGCGTGTTGAGTAAACATCGCCAAGCCTCAAAGCCATTTCCTTCTTCGACTGACCTTACAAGCTGTAAAGGACGATCCTTCACCATGCCTGTCAAAAGAGCATAAAGCTTTTGAGCTTGTTCTTCAGCTTCAGGAGTCATCTCTACCAACGAGGTCTCTTCGTTCAGCTGCATCTCTACTTCATCCATGGCCTTGCTCATGTTACTATCGATAGCCCGAACATACTGTTTGAAAGACCATTTCCACTCACCAAACTGCGCTATTTCGTCCTCACGGGTTTGTGGCCTAAAGATGTCGGGCCTCGGCAACAGTCTTGTCCATGTCCCAGCATCGCTCTTCGGCCTCGCAGCAGCCAAGGACTCTACTGTCTTCTGCAACGCCACAGTCTGCTCTCTGTTTGCTTGCAACATCTGAGCGAAAGCATCCATCATCTGCAACGACGGCATGGACTGCGCAGTTTGTGACGTAGGCGAAAACGGATTTGGTTGGGGACTTCCGGGGTTTTCTGGTACATGTCCTTGCGCACCCTCCATGAGCGAAACCCGATTTCTCCAACTGCACACACTGCTCGGCACCCTTCAAGCTAAGCCGGTAGTAGAGCACGAGGGCCACAAACGACTTCACACCAGCACAGATGTAAGGAGATGAAGAGGACAGCTGATCCGAGTCAGCCCGAAAATGAAGCTGGTATCACAACCTCAGCAAGTTTTCTCACACCAGCAGCGGTTGTAGTGCAGATACTAGAACTGGCCGCCGCACCAAGCAGCAGCGGTTGTAACCCTTGAAGTTCAACTGGCCGCCTTGTCGCTGCTCGCCGCAGCACAAGCAAGGAGGGAGGACTATGTGGCACACGAGGCTTCCACACACCCAGGGCCACCTACTCTACTCTACACAAACACTCACACAGGACGAAGTTCAGTCCTCAGCCTCCACCGGACACCCTGAGATCAAGTCAAAGGGTCAGTAGGATTGGGCTCACACACTCACACACAAACACTGTCCTGAGGCTGTGGTTTCTGGCCTCGTAGCAAGCACTGTCGCCCCAGGACACAAAGGTCTAGGAACGGTAGTGCTCCGCTACCATGCAACTTTTCTCGAACCTTTAAGCGGCCTCCGGAGTGTGACTTCAACAGTGTGCTATACAAGTTGGTCGGGGTAAAACATGGGTACTATGTAAGGGGTATACATGTAGTTTTACATCTAGCACAAAGCAAGCGCGCACATTAACCGGCAGCCTGAGAGAGACGTGTGGTGTCGTTGCTTCTCGTGAGGGTGGGGAAGTGGCAACCGTGCATGGCCAGCTACTGCAGCATCTCTGCGTCCTCGCCCGAGAACACAGGGCCCGCGCGGCCCTTCGCAGGCACGTTGAGTTGGCGTCTGCAGCGGCCGAAGCCGGCGTGTGACTGCGTCTGGGTGCTCTTCCTTGCTGACATCTGCAGTTCATGGGCGTGCCTGGGCATTTCCCTCGCACTTTATCAGCAACAGCCGCTTCCTGACCATTTGCTGGCCTTCCCCGCAGTCTCTGGGTCTCCAGGTCTTTGCTTCCCTCCAATCATGCTTTGAGATGGCCAGTAGTGGCCCCGCTTCCCAGGCAGTCGATGACTTCGCCCACCGTGCCCACTTACGTGAAGCAGATGCGGCCTCCGCTGCCCTGCTGCTCTCGCAAGCTGGTCCGCCAGAGTTTTGCCGTGCCCACGCTGCAGGCTCACCGTCGTCGCGCTCGAAGTTGGAGGGCCCTGGAGCAATGAGGCTGCCAACTTCGTCCGCGCGGGCCGTCCCAGCCACATGCCGGCCCGCAGCCATTTCTGCCTTCACGTTGCGTTGGTCGTCCTTCATCTCCTTCGCAGCTGCGCGGAATTGCGCGGACTTTCGCCACCAGTCTCCTGTCGCTCCCGCTCGGTGGCACTGCCAACGTTGATGGGGGCCCTCCGCTCCTCGGCGAGGTCCTCGTCGACTCCGCCATCCCTCCCCCCATTGCCAGCCGCCTCTTCCGTTGCGCTGCACTGGGACCGCCTTGACCAGCAGAAAAAGGTGCGACAAAAACATCGAATTTAGGCGTCGGGCTACGCGTCACAGCATTGTGGGCGCGCGGGCACCACCAATTGGCATTGCCCCACTTGCGCCCGACACGGTGGCCCGGAAAAACGAATTTGATTTTGCCCCATCTGCCTCACTTGTCCCACTTGCCCACTTGCACTTGCCTCACTTGTCCCATTTGCCCCGCTTCGCTTGCCTAGCTTGCCTCATAGCTGTAACAGCAAGGGGGGCAGGCTCCACAAGTCTGCTTCAAACCGGTCTGTGATTTGAGGCAGACTTACCGCTTCCATGGCCTTAACGGCAAGGGGGGCAGGCTGACCCAATTACAAGTCTCGCCCCATGCCCCACCCCCACCCTGCCCCACCTCCCCATCTCCCACTTCAGGTTGGCAGAGCAAGTGGGGCAAGTTGGGCAAGTGTGGCAAGTGGGGCAAGCGACTTAGAAATTTCTGAGCGGTTCACATAGGGCAAGTGGGGCAGCTTGGGCAAGTGGGGCTGGTGGTAGAACTAGCCAGAACAGCTCTCCTAGCCAACATGCGGAGTGCGGCAGGTGCACATCCTCCGCATGCGGGCTCTGCTCGGTCCGGTCGGGTTGAGGCATAGGACAGGCCGGCCTTCGTCAGAGGCCGCAGGACATGCCCGGAGACCACAAGCGTAGTTGTTGTCGGAGTCCCAGACTGGCAGGGCTTGGAGCTTAGTCTTCCGGGCATCACGCGGCTGCGCAAAAAATCATGCCATACGCATGCAACACTCATGCAACCAATCAGGGCCCGCACCTTGCTGCGTATGCGGTCAGTTTGTTTTTGCCGCCTTTTTTGCTGCGAATGCAAGGATTTTTTTTGCAGGAGCTCTGCGACGTAGACTGTTGCAGGCTTGGCTCAGCAAAGCACGTTAAAGTGCTCCTGCCATGGGTTGCCGTCGCCAGCTTGTTCAATGGCAGGCCATGCAAACCTCAGTGGTGCAAGTTTTACGATTCCGTCGATGTTTGTGCACATGTGCCGACAGGCGGACAGGGGCCGGTAGCCATGCTCTCATTTGCTTGCGGGATAGAGGCGGATCAGCTCTCCTGTCGTGGCAACTCAGGCCGTCGGCTTCACTGGCAGCATCGCAGGAGGAGATTCTGCGGTCCCACCCCATGAACACTCTGGAACCAAGCGGTCCAAACACATCCAAGTGCAGAGTTATGTTATGTCAGTCACATGCTGCTTAGGCAGGTCCGTTGAGTTGGCGTGGGGCTTCGCGGCTTAGTGCGCAGCTGCGAGCGACAACGGCATGTAAGGCCCGAGTTCTGCGTGGATGTTTCTCAGCACCAATGTTGGCCAGGCTGTTTCGTTGGAGCTCGGGACCTAATCATTCACATGATGATCGGTAGCCCATGCTGGCCACACGAATTCCGTACTGTAGCTTGCATTGGCTGGCATCTGCATGTGAGCTTTCGTCGGGAAGGTATTCGCATTCAGCGCTTTCAGCCGTGCTCCGCCTCGCTTACCCACTTTCTTTGATATCTTGCAGGGCGATGCTTGCATGTTTGGTTGCGATTTTTTGTTCCGCGCGCCTGCCAGGACATCCGTCTCAATAAATATGTACCATTAGGGATCATGCGAGAACACTTCCGCTTCTTCCCCAAGAAAGACATTCAATGCAGCACACTGGACACCGGTAGGAAATGGCACCCGTGCCTGTCATAGTTCAGGGCATGGCCTCACAGTGTCGGCTGACTTGGCAACCATGAGCGTCCATGGGTACACCAAGCGCCGGGGACTCATTGCCTGAAAAAAACTTCCTTTTCCCTAACAAGCGTTCCTCGAACAGCAATGGCACGATAAGTATGCTGATCCTTTTGCAGTTAGATATGTCCATAACAGATTGGTAGTGCCACGGTAGTGCATGCAGGTTCTCGGAAATCGACATGTCACGCAAGAATTCATTTCCGAACATGTCAAATGTCTATTGTTATCCAGTCGACCTGGGGGGGGGTGTGTTTGATGGGGAAAATCCTCTAAACAGCACTGGTGACCACTCAAGTCCGGACATTTTTCCTTCGACCTATTACCTGCCAATGGATTTCAATTTCGCTTGTCAGCCGGAAAGACAGCACATCCATTTGTGGCAATTGCCACATGCACTTGGCTGCTTGTAATTCCTTCCCATTCACAAGCTGAACAGGACATGCTCACCTCTATGTATGAGCAGTGCGGACATACTAGGAAGGAGCTGGAGGTCACGGTCTGCGATTTTTGAATCAAAGACGCCGTTCATGTTGCCACGATATTTTTGCTGCATTGCCTGGAATGATGCATACATGTCTGAACATATCTGAACATGCTCTCTGCGCATAGATGGCGCGTGGTTCTTAAGAGTTTCTGGTTCAACTTCCGCAGGGGGACCATGTCGTACATGCTCAATTTTTTGTTGATCCCTCTGGTTACCCACCGCCAAATGGGCATGGAGAGTCCCCCTCCATTGCAAGCAAATTGACCCTTTGCTGTGGCTCGGGCAAACGGCTGACGAATGTGATGGGTTCCCCAGTCGCTGTCCCTCGTATAATTCCGCTTCGGTTAATTTTCGTGGCTTGCCCAACCGTGCGTTAGCGGCAAGCTTGGGAGCATCAACGCCGGGTGTCATCCGCTTTGATTCGAGGTGCCCACTTGGGCGGTTGCCTGCCTTGTGTGCAACTGCGTGCGCACAAAGGCATGAAATTCGTAAGGTCCAGTGTTCCAACCTGGCCGTTGGAGCCGCTTGCGGGAAGGGTATGCATTCGCTGCCAACACGGAGTCGTTTTAATTCTACACCTGGAGCTCGCACAAGGAGCATCTCTGCGATCAATGCACAAAAACCAAAAAAAGACGTCATGCAGTCGACATCGTGAACACTATTTTCCGCATTTTCCATGCCTCCCTCGATGAAATTGAAAACCCCTTCTCTCTCTCCAGAGTGGATTGGGGGGGGGGGGGGGCAGCACACCACGCCGTATCTTGGGTCCACGACCCGAGTTTCAAGGAGGGCCCCAAATACAGGGGTGGACGCGGACGCCCGGGGCTTGCCCCCAAAGAGGAGAGGAAAGGAACGGAGCGGAGCGGAACGGAAAGGAAGGAGAGGAAAGGAAAGGAAGGGAAAAGGACAAGAAAAAGGAAAAGGAAAAGAAAAAGGATCAGGAAGAGGAAGAGGAAAAGGAAAAGGGAAAGGGAAAGGGAAGGGGAAGGGGAAGGGGAAGGGGAAGGGGAAGGGGAAGAGGGGGAGGGGGACGGGGAAGGGGAAGGGGAAGGGGAAGGGGAGGGGGAGGGGAGGGGGAGGGGGAGGGGAAGGGGGAGGGGGAAGGGGAAGGGGAGGAATACGGAATGAATAGAGAGACAGAAAGAAAGGAGAGCGAAGAGAGCGGGGAGCGCGGGGAGAGCGGTGGAGAGGAGGCAGAGGAGGTAGAGGAGGGAGAGGAGGGAGAAGAGGGAGAGAGGGAGAGAGGGAAAGAGGGAGAGAGGGAGAAGGGGAGAGAGGGAGAGAGGCGCAGAGGGGGAGGGGCGTGCGCGGAGCCACTCATGGCGCACCCCGGGCATCTCCACTTTAACGGGGCATACTAAGGTACTCTAAGGATTGCGAACGGGGGATGCCTACTTGGTGGTGAACGCCTGGCGAACACTTTTCACCCAAGAGACGGACTGAGGTTCTGGGCGCGCCTGCGTGCGCGGGGGGCCCCCGGGTCCCTCAAGCCCTGTAGAAGAAGAAGAAGAAGAAGAAGAAGAAGAAGAAGAAGGGGGAGGGGGAAAGGGGGAGAGGGGGAGAGGGCGAGAGGGGGCGAGAGGGAGAGAGGGAGAGGTCTGACGATCGAGGCGGGGAGGTTTGCGGCAGAACGCTGGCAGTGGCCCCGTGCTGAGATGAGCTTCGAAGCCTTTGGGTTGTTGGTAGCCAGCGAATACGTTGTTGCCGGGCTACATGCAGGGACAGGAAGTTTGTGACTGGTGCAGCGCCGATCGCAAGGGCTTTCCTGTACGCATAGAGTTGCGTATTGGGTTGGTGGCATGTGCTGCGTCTCCATGGTGTAGGCAACATTTGCGGCCGGGTGTCACTGAGGCGCTTCGGATGTAATTGAAGGGGATCGTGGGATTTGCCTGCAGATAGTGCGACTCGTGGAAAGTTTGGTCTAGTCGTCTTCCTTTGGTGTTTATCCTGCCCAGAGCAATCTTGGTAAACGAGCTGCGTTGTGAAACGTTATTGGAGAACGGAATCGTAACAAACCCGACTGCGTATGCTCATCCGTCCGCGCAATTGCTGTGGGAGGATTCGCTGCTGAGAAGCTGTCGCAGGATCCAAAGGCTTGGTTGCCCTACCAGTTGACGCAGCAGGTGCATGTATGTCCCGACCAGGGCTTGGCGAGAGCTCGTGCAGCATAGGCCCGGGAGAATCCGCCAAGCAGAGGGAAAATGCTGGAATTGATTGGCCTTGGAGAGGCATGTGAAGCTGGCCAGGCAGTGAGTTCATCGCAGCCCTTTCGATGCTGTTTGTCTCGGCGATGAAGTTGACACGGCAGGCAGAGAGTATCCATGGATGGATGTGCGCAGCATGCACATGTCGAGCCCGAGTCCCACACAGCTGGTGCCCCAGACACAATGCACAATGGCAGTGAGCACTTGCCGTTAGAATTGTGAACCATGTTTTGTCCTGCTTGGCAGGGCGGGGGCTATGCGCACGGAGTACATGGGCATGGAACTCGGGGTTTGTCATTTTTACTTACGGTGAGTTGGCCTTTTGTTAGATAGGGACTAGATTCTGCTCGGATGGTGTAGTTGACTTCGCTGCGTGGCCAGGGTGCTGGTCAGCGAGCAAAGGGCACATGCGCCGGCAGACGAGGCCGGAATCTTGCAGAATGAGGATTCGATGCCCTTTGCTTGCCCCCTCGGTTCCTCAATGGTTGTGCACGGAGCCCAGCACTTTCTGCCACTGAACGTTCAAGGGGTTTAGGCTTAAGTATCCTGGACCGGGTGCTCCCGTGCTGATCGTCATGGGCCGTGAATGGATGGCTGGGAGTCGAGCTTTAAAGTTTTTACCATCGTATATATATATATATACGCCTGGAAGGAAGCTGCCGCAGGGATCTGTTTTTTTTCTACACCGGAAATTGTGAAAGCACTAAGGCAGCAAAGCAATTTGACATTTTTTTTAAAATTCTGTTTCGAGTGATGTCATTTTGTGCCGTGTTCGCTGACACGGAATTTGCATTTCTTGGTCGAGCTTAGGAGCTTAGGCGCTTAGGTTTCGCTTTTCAGCAAGAAGCCGTCAACTCGCTGCAGCCGGCCACGTTTCTCGAAGGACCTTTGGGACGAAGCCGTCTTCTTCCACCATCCACCGGTTCATCACTCAGGGTTTCCTGAAGTGGAGCCCAGACTTGTGACAGCTTGCGAACAAGACAGGTTGATGACGTGCTGTCAGAGCTGGTCAAGCACGAGGCTGGCAGTGGCCTGGTAAACTGCGATGTTTTGATCGGACTCTGTAGCTGTAGGCCGCCTGCCTCAGTGCACTTGCTGTGCAGCAAGCAACTGGATGTTAGAAAACGCGCCTGTTTTGACATCGACTGGCAGCAGTGTTCCGGCCATTGGAACATGCTTGCAGGCAAGCGCAGCAATCCTGGGCCTGCTGCTCGACACACTGTTGGTCTTTGTCGTGAGTTTTTGGTGTCATCTGGCTCGTGCAGCCTCATGCGATGTTTGTCGACAAGGCCGTGAGCCAGCTGCCAGCACTATCCTGCTCCTAAGAAAGCTGGAACGCGAGGGTCCTGAAAAGATTACAGCTGCGTCAGTGTACCAGCCTGACTTGACAAGTTGCAAGAGAGGTATAATCTGCCAGCTTTGTTGGTATGTTCTTGGTGGGGCCTGGTGGCGCAGAGATACCATCCCCAGTACATGTCTGGACTTTCCGAGGCCAGTTTCAGCTGAGGTCGCGAGGCGCGCACGGAGACTTTGAATGCTGCAAAGTTGTGCCATCCGATGGGGCTGCAGCAGCTCTTACATATGTGTTGCGTCCTGTCATGGCATGCAAAGGCAGGTAGGTGGGTTGCTACCCTTGGGAGCAGTGTAAGAGTTTTGATTGGGCCTTGAGACAGGTGGCCCATGGAAGGTACGGATTTCGTTGCAATTCTCACTGCCGGGGCGGCTAGCTCCTTGTTCTTAAAACGGGTGGGAAAAATTCTTAAAAAACAATATTACAGAGCAGATCAGGGCAACATCCTCGCTTCAAACGAGCATCCTGCGTGCAACATCGCCGATGGTGCTCAATCCATGCGCCGGGAATATGTCTTGTAGCTGTGTTCCATTGAAATTGGAAAGAGTATGGAGCTGGCATGAGCTGGCTGAAAAGGACACAGCGCTGTTGACATGAAGCGTGCTTTCACAAAGCATCATGGACTATGGATGTTTCACGTTGAAGCAACAACCTGAAGAACGTCGCATGGGACAAGCTGACCACATCTTGGCCCGTTGTTTTCTCGAACCTGGGTGACCTGGGCGCTAAGGGGGACATAACATTGGTGCGCACTCACCAGGCTTACGTGTTTCACTGAACGCCGAGCTACTAATGCGTCCCGGTTGCTGCTCGCTAGCTTCTGTTCGACCTGGCTCGATAGCCAAAACATGCGACAGCAGGTGCAAAGAGTGCAACGCAGAGGCTCTTGATCAGAAAACTGGGTGGCGCACCAGGCTCGGCGCCCTGGCGCCCGCCATGTGCACTGGGGGAGACTGGCCGGCAGGAGCTGCAGGAAGCCTTTATATTGCTGTGTTTGTAAAGGGCAGCTGTTGCTCTGATGATGCTGTTGCTCTGGTGATGTGGTTGTGTCGCCAGGAAGCATGTAGATCTGGGCTCGACCGATGCCGAGGATTCCGGCAAAAAAGACCCAAGGCCGCACGTTAAATGCATATGCACACGAGCGCATGCTCTCAGGAGACATAGAAGTGCTGCGGTTGTGCCGCCGACGAGCTTTTTGGCGGTGCATGCAGATGTGCTTTCTTGAGGCTGCTAGAGCAATCCAGAAAGGGGTTGTTATGCGGGCACAAGTCTCAGCTTGAAAGCCGAATCTGGACAGCGTGGGGCTTTGGCGCCGTGATGGCAGGCTGATGCCAATTGCATGCTCAATCCGACTCGTGGTTGCCAGCAGCTACGTGCACAGCTTGGAGTTGCAAAGGCACCTGTCGAAATGCCCCGCCGTAACGCTGCTTTACTTAAGCGGCTAAGCGGCTCAGGGGCGTACAGCGTGTGCGTACAGCGTGTGCGTGTGCGTGGGTGTGTGTGTGTGTGTCCAATCGCTGTGCATGCAGGGGTCCCTAAGCCTTTCCCTTTCTTGTATGCTTTGTTGCTTCAGGCCTTTCACTCAGTGCTGACACCTTTCGCACATGACGGGTTTACTTGCCATGCACTGCGCGAGGTGAGGTTCCAGGTTCCAGGGGTTGGGGAGGTTCCGGCATCCGTGCGTTCAAAGAATGACAACGCCCGAGCTGTACTGGGGGGACTCCAGAATGACACAGCCCGAGCTGTACTTGGGGGGTATGCCTCAAAAGTGCAGAGAGGCCTTTGGAGGGAAGGGGGGGCTGGGGGGGTGGGGGGGTGGTCGTGAACAAAGGAGACAACAAAAACTCGGCGTAACTAGACGGGGCCCCAGTTCGCGGTTTTGCATATTGGCGCGTCTTTGCTTTCCATGTGCGGTCGTTTTGCTTATAGGTGCTTTTTCCTTACTATATGATATGATAGGATATGATATGATATACATATATACAGTTGTTTGGCTTATTGGTGTGGTGCGTCTTCGCTTCGCTGACTGGTGTGTCTTCACTTACGGTGTGGCTGTTTTGCTTTGCTTATAGTTGTCTTCGTTGTATATGCGCTTGCTTTGCTTGTGGGTGCGTCTTCGCTTACCACGTGTGCTTGTTTTGTTTATTGGTGTGTCTTCGGTTTTTCTCCTTTTTGGTGGTCTTTGTTACTGGTGTGTCTTCACTTACTGTGCTGTTGTTTTGCTTGTTGGCCTCAAGTTTGGATGTTGGCCTAACATCCACCCCTCAATTTTGGATGTTGCCCCAACATGTGTTGACCCGATGCGTGCCTGTCCAAAGCAGGGGTCGTTTGAGAAATGCTTTCCTAGACACAACAGGTGTTGAAGGCACTGTTTGTGTTCATCTTGTGCCTCCCTTACAGCTCATGTCAGCTGGCGGCAACTGGAAACAATATGCCACTTGCATAGTTTTACTTGGTACTGTAGGGAAGCGTGATTACAAGACCAATCTCGCGCACGTTCCCATTTGGAGTGCATGTGAAACTGGCTCTCTGTGTATCCAGAGCGCTCGGTCCGAACATAGTGTTTCGGAGCACGTCCGAGGGCCCGAGATGTAGATATAAGGTTGCTTGCATGTTATCCTTGCAACAGGCCGAAGCCACGCTTGGTTTTCCAGATTAGTCACTTGCCTGTGAGCCAGGAAACGGCGTGCATACATTCAGCCGTAGTCTATGTTAGCGCCTCACGGGTTAGACATGCCACGTGTATATCGTAACATGCAATTGGGGCCGGTGCCAGGGCTTCTGCGGTGCTGTCAGAGCTGGAGGTCTGCGTGTGCACTCCCGTGTGTCGTTTTGGTTGTCAGCCATGCTTCAGGCGCCTCTTCCAATTCCGGGTGGATCTGTGAGCCTAGAGGTGTTGAGCTCCGCCCTTTTTCAACCTTTTGTCTTGTCCTGGATGCTAAGCACCACTGGGTGGTGCGTTTCCTTGAGGCCAGCCGATCCTTTCGCGAGCTACGCTCCTCCGCAGCCGGGTCGCCTGGCTGTCGGGTGGTGCTGCCTCTGCTGAAGCAGCCGTGCTGGCCTCAGTTGCCTGTTGGAGTTCGAGCAATGCCGACATTGCAAGTGACGCAACACTGCCAGACAAGCCTTGGCTAAGTCTTGGCTACTTCGGACATGGAAAATGGCACTCGTGAGATCTTGTGTCAGTGATCCCCCATGAGCTCTCCAAGATGCATGTGACGTAGCTAAGACAAAACCTGAAGACTGTACAGATCTTAACAGGCTCTTGTTTCACCTCTTCGCCATGCCAGCAAGAGGTCAGGAGCTAATGCGGCGCCAGGCCGGGATGCCAGAGCATGCCGCAGAGAGCTTTCTCTGCTCTTTCTGCTCTTCTATTTCTCTCTCTCGCTCCTCCTTTTCTGCACTGCCCTGAATGAACCGCTTACTAGAGCAAACGGAACGCCGGTGCAAGCTGGGCTTTAGAGTGGTATTGATTTAGCAGGAATGTCATACAGCTCAGTCAGCAGACCTGTGTTTGGATTCTAGCAGTCCACGTGGTCATGCTACGTAATTCGGGTGGGCCCATGACCTCATGGCCATTCATGGACCCAGGACTTTCAAGCAGTTTTGACTCGCAGCTGCCGCTGGAGGAAAGCCTCATTGAACCGGTGCACAACCCTTTCTCCAATCCGGCCCCTTTCACATGCTACGAGACACTTGGATCATTCAAGACTTGACCATGGCTTGAGGATAATCGCCACTAGAGCTGCCCGCCCAGGATTCTGAAAGCTGGTCTGATTGGCTTCCTGGCTGCATTCATTGAACGGTTTTCCAAGGATGGCCAAGAACACAAGATTTCCCTGCCTCATTCTCCCGCCCTCATTCCCAAGTAGACGACTCTCTCACAGACCTGGCGCAGCGTGTGCCCGATTAGAACAGAATTCAAAGCGTGCGCTTTGTACTATCAGTGGGCCGTAGAGTCTGAATCGGGTTTTGGTCCGTACAAGTAGGGGAGTAGGGGATGGCAGTCACTGAATTGTGCCCTGTGGTCGGCACTTGACAGGGCTTTAGTATTTGGCGAGTTCAGGTGTTACGCTCTTGCCCATGCGCATTGGGATGGTGATTGCTTGCGGCCTGGCGGAGGTGGCGTCACAGTGGAGCATTGAGAGTGAGAGCAGGAATCGCCTGAACTGAGCCAAGAGTTCCTGTGCCAGGTACTCCTTGTTCGTCTGGCCACATTGGGGACAGAACTGAAGGAAGATCATGGCTGCTGGCTGCATACCGCCACTTGCCCTGCATTTCTGGAGTGATTGCAGAGATCATCTAGGAACACGCGGCAAGAGACATGGCTCCATTCCACAAACTTGATGGAAGCTGGGTCACGGCCGGCACTAGGGGTCACTCGAGCAACTTGACCGGCTGCCCTGTGGCTCCACGTCATACTTGCTGATAAGTGCTGCGTTCAAGAAGCGCTGCCCTTCTTATTTGCCGATGTGCAAGTGCAAGGAACCATTTGAACCTTGGCGGATGAGGCTGCTCGTGGCATGGCGGCATTTCTTCTGCAGATTCCAAAAGAATTGTCTAAACCACCTCCGCCATGGCCACATGATGCATGCGAGGCTCCACTGAAATATTTGAATCGCTTGGCATTGCTGGCCTTTGGCTTCTGGCCTGGTGGCATAAAGGTCAGGGACTTTCGCAAGGCTTGGCTCAGATTTGTTGCCTCATTTTGGCATGATCTGGCGGTCTGCATGTGGCGGCTAAACGTAAGATCTTGCGCGGTTGCGCTAGCCATATTGTCTTATTTGCAGGAAGCCTCGGTCCCTGCGAAAATTCTGGTGGTAGCGTCCGAGACTTATATTGATGTTCGTTCATTGGCGGTGAAGCGTTGAACGCTGCGGAGACAGTGCCGAGTAGCCATGCGGGATGTTCTTGGACTGGTACTTGTAGCTGAAACCCCTTCGCCCTGGCATGTTTTCGATTGGCACAATAGGATGAAGCCGCAAACAGTGCCGTCACACAGTCAACAGATGCATGAGCACCTGGCTCACTGAACTTGCGAGGCCTCACATGACAGTGACCTGAGCTGCAAGTTGTGTTGAAATCGTTGATGGCAGCTGGAACTTGCAACTCTGCACAGGTTTCAAAGGGACGGCCATGGCTGAGGCTTTGGACTCCTTGCTCATTGGCGTGGCATTTCCTCCGGTTCCTAGCGGTGTGGGCATGACTGGCCTGCTACAGATTCCCGTGATGAGGCGACTTGGTGCAACCCTAGTCGTGCTCAGTTAGGCAGAAGCTTGCAACCCTAAATCCGCGACCTAGCCCGGAAGAAAAAGGATGCGAACGGCAGGTGGGGCAAGCGGGGCAAGCGGGGCAAGCGGGGCAAGTGACGGAAATCAGTTAGCAGTGCCGGTTTCCAACGTGCACCGACATGCAAAGTAAGTACTGCCATCGGAAAAGCTGCACCTTGCATGGTTTAGTTTAGTTGTGTTATTGGATCCGATTTCAAAGCCTCTGGAGTGAGGAGTTTGGCGATCGGAGGCCAGGCCATCCTTGTCGACCGCAGCAACCCGGACAGCAGGCATTGTAACATCTTTGCAGTGTAGGTTGCTGGAAAGCCGGCAAACAGTATCAAACAGTGGGCCATACTTGCGCTGCGATTGCATCTTGCTTGGAGGCGCAGCTGCAAGGAGGCTATTCAGAGCAGGACTGGCGAGTCCTGGCTCGGGCCGCCAATGATGATCTTCCCTCAGGACGGAGAAGGATGCGAATATGATGCGACAGTCATGCAGCTTCCGCCTAGAGTTCAACTCCCCTGAAAAAGCCGCACATAGGTGACAGAGTGGCCTACCCTTTCCGCTGTGTGGAGCAAGAAGAAGCAGAAGAAGAAGAAGAAGAGGGAGAAGAGCAAGAAGAGGGAGAAGAGCAAGAAGAGCAAGAAGAGCAAGAAGAGGAAGAAGAGGAAGAAGAGGAAGAAGAGGAAGAAGAGGAAGAAGAGGAAGAAGAGGAAGAAGAAGAAGAAGACGAAGAAGAAGACGAAGAAGAAGAAGAAGGAAGAAGAATAAGAGGCAGAAGAAGAAGAAGACGAAGAATAATAATAAGAAGAAGAATAAGAAGAGAGACCTGCGACCCCACAAAAGAAGAATAAGTAGAATAAGAAGAAGCAAAAGAAGAAGAAGAAGCATAAGAAGAAGAAGAAGAAGAAGAAGAAGAAGAAGAAGAAGAAGAAGAAGAAGAAGAAGAAGAAGAAGAAGAAGAAGAAGAAGAAGAAGAAGAAGAAGAAGAAGAAGAAGAAGAAGAAGAAGAAGAAGAATAAGAAAACGAAGGAGGAGAAGAAGAAGAGTACGCAGAAGAAGAAGAATAAAAATAATAATAAGAAGAAGAAGCAGAATAAGAAGAAGGCGAAGGATAAGGATAAGAAGAATCAAAAGAAGAAAAAGGAAATATGATAATTCGAAAAACATAGATAAGAAAAAAAGATAAGGAGAAGGAGAAAAAGCAAGAAGAGAGAGAGGGACCCCTTTTTTGGGGTCTTACGCTACCTTGGCAGAACATCACCGGTCCAAAGAGGCTCCACCCAGCACACTGAAAGCCGAAGTTGGTCACCACAGTCCCCCGCCCTAACCGCCCTAAGCCCTGTGGATGCAACCCCCGGGGTACCGCCTCAAGCCGAGGAGGGAACAGTACACTCCGTGTCGCCCAACTGAGACTCGTACCAAGAGCGCCTGGGGGCAGCCCGCATGTGGGCCGTGCTGCGTCTTTGCCGGAATATTGAAGATGGGAGAATGAAGAAGGAAGAACCGGGCAGAATCCAAGCAGCAAAATTTCGCACATGGGCACGCCCCGAAGGCCGACCTTTCGCGCGGGGGCTGGAAGAGTTTGTGTGGCCGGCCCATTCGTGGGGATGATGCTAGAAGCCCAGACGAACCATCGAGTCAAGAACTCCTGCGCACAAAGAATAGCTTCGCCAGTGCGGCCGGGGCCCGTCGGATTCCTCAAGTGAGGAGAAGAAGAAGGCACGAGACGAGAGAGAACCAGGGGACCGAACCGGGAGTCCTGTCCGGTGGGTAGAAGGAGAGCGAGAGAAAGATAGAAAGAGCGAGAGGCAAAACACAGGCTGGCCCCGCACCCCCCACCGAGTTTCACAACTAAGACACCGGAAAAGGGGGGGGCGAAGACGCCCGGGCACTTCCCCTCGCCCCACGAAAGACATGAATGAATAAGCGTAAGAAATAGAAAGGAGGAAAGATCGAGAGAGAGCGAGAGACCGCGTGCGCGAACGGCGCGGTGGGCCTGTGCCCTTTATGCCCCAAAGAAAGAGTGGGAGAGAGAGAGAGAGATCGATAGCGATGCGTACTTGCAGTCCGTCGGCATTTTGTGCAGCATGTGCAGCGGAGGGTGTCATCACAAATGGCTTCGCGCTTACCCAGTTCAACGTGGGTGCATTTTCTCCGGGAAAGCCTGTGGTTCCTGTCTGCCTTCGATATCCATGGAGGCAGGGCAATCCTAAATGTGCTAATTCATTTCTTGCATCCATGGCTTGGCGGCTGCCAATAGGTGGCAGCACCTGGTGTCACAGAATCTCGCCACTCTCCTGTCCCGATCCATCTCCATCACGAAAGCCAGGAATAATTGAGGACTCGGGGGCAACTAGTTTGTCGACTGCTTGGAGGGCAGCTGGTAGTCGTGCAAGCAGATGTTTCTTGGATTGTCGTTTCGAAGAAGATACTGACATTGCCCGGGGCTCCGGGAGTGGGCAGATACAGACCATTGCGGCAGTCAACATAGGGTTCATTCATCCTTTCTAGCAATTCTAGCACCCGACTCGGAAGCTATAGTGAGTGGCATTAAAGCAGTTGTCAGTCACATCCTGCCACGTGCTGTTGGACATGTGCCCCAGGCATTACAACCCCGCTGGCTGCGGACAGAATCACGCTTTGGGAATCGCTTTGCTGCGGACATTGCTTCAATTCAAGAACGAGTGCCAGATCGACATCCTGGACACGTATGCGACTCGACTGACTCAGCGTTTTGAACGTCGGTAGTGCTCCCTTGCACCGCAAAATGATGCCGCGGCTGCGTTGCGAGTGTGCGTGTGTGCTTGCGTAAACTCGTCTGAGGCACCTTCGCCAGAAGAATCGGCGGATGACAGGTGCCCTGGATCTTCTTGACCGGGTTTGGGCCGCGTTGCTATTTGGATGGCTTTGTGCTGGAATGACAGGCTCTTTGCGAACAACGTGAGGAGAGTGTCCTGGTCGTGACAAAAAGTTTACTCAGACTGTCAGGCTCAGCCAATGGTGTTTGGTCTGTATGCCAGCTCTGTATGCCCTCTACCCAAGGTCATGGCTGCACATCTTGATGTGCCATGCACAGAGCAGAGTTACGAGGATGCTTTCTTTGCCTTTGGCTCGCGAGCACATGTTGGCAGTGACTTCGAGGTGCCATGAGCTTGTCCATGTCTTTTCGCAATGAGTCTGCCATGCGCCAGAAAATCCCGAGCCTCCGAAGGTGGCACGCTTAAAGCGTTGCTACGATTGCAGCGCAGACGACTTGAAGGCAGTGCTCCGATCCTTTGAGAGGCACGATGCGATTCTCGGCGTCGGGCGATGCTTCTGAGAATATGGGCCTGATCGTGCTTGCAAAAATCGACTTGAGCAGCGACAGAAGTAAAGAGACATTTGCGGGTGACATCCGGTGACTTTGTTGTGAAGTTTGTTGTGATCTCTGAGGAGCGACACTGGGGCCCTCACGTACGAGGAGATTTGCCTTGCGCTCTCTGGTCTGGGCTCTGGTCTGGGTGTTGAAGGGCGCCTTCGCCAGGAGGCGCCCCCGTTTTGTGACTGAAGCCTGGTATAGGAGGGATCTGAAGGCAAAGGAAGCGAACTAGGCTACCAGCACTTCAACGCTCAGATGCTGTCAAGTTGTGTCTCGAGGCGGCGCTTTTCGCGTATTTCGACCAGGCTTATTGGCTTCATTCAGTGGTCGTACCCGCTGCTATGGTCAAGAAGAGCCCTTGTTTGTCAGGACAGAAGCGGAGCTGTCGAGTACCGGGATTTCATTCAGGCAACAGACTGGCGCAAATGCTTCAACAGTAGCCCCAAAATCATTGTGTGTGCAGCTTGAGGTGGCGGCGTTGCTTTCTGGCCATGGCTCCGAGTCCAGCCGCTTGCAGCTCGCGTTCCTTGTTGCTGCCACGAGGCTGCAAGCCAGCTGCCTGGCTCTCCACACACTCTCCACATCCACTCCATGTCCGCTAAGTCCACGCCATAGGTTTGAGTTGTCTCCCTTCTGCGCCTGCTGTCGGCTGCAGTTGGCCTATGTTTTGTCTTTCCATCAGGACATGGAAGGCTCGGGAAGAGCAGCCGCCAGCTTTGTGGCACAGTTGCTCGATGGTGAGCCCGTGCCACAGGCTCCTTGGACATGGAACTGCGAGTGGAATGGGTGAGTGATGACTATGGAACGTGACTGAATGGCCTAGTTTGGGGTTGGTAAGGGTTAGCCGAACTATGCTCTCAGAGCCGTGGAAGGCCGATGATGCTCGCACCCTCGTTCCACTAATCTGGTGCCGAGGGTTTCGACGATCTTGCCAGGCCGAATAGAGTGTAATCAGGAGAGCTGGGGAGGCGTGCACCAGGTGCACCACTTTCAGAAACTCGTCCCAATTTTGCCTTATGCGGGAAGGCCTACTGTGATGTAACATGGGTGGTCTGCTGCGAGTTGGGCGTTGTGGTCTGTATCTCGGAGCCGAGATCAAGCAAAGAAGCACAAACTACTGGATGTGGGTGGAATTGGGTGGATCTGAGAGGTGGCCAGGCATTCTGCGGCTAATTAGACACGGCGTGGATGGTCCTAGCTGGGCGAACACAGCGAACACATCAAACGAGGGGAGCCAAGCCCCTGACAGAAGCATATGCAAGCATATGCTATATGCTCAATGAACAGAAGCATGCAGCACTCAAGCCACTCTAATTACATTCAAGAGTGCATGCTACATCTTGCTAAGTACTAAGAAGGTACTACAAAGAAAGTAAGAAAAGTATTAAGGACTTGTCCTTCGATGCCTTCCGTGACTTCGCTTCGACACGGCCCATGCTCGTGGACAAGGCCCTGGAGTTGCTGAGAAGGCGCGGGGATAGAGGTGGGAGGGTGGCGCGCACGCGCACACACACACAGAGTTTCTTTTTTGCGGCTGCCATGGCTGTTAAGATTTTTGCATTTTTCTGGGGGGCTTCTCTGAGCAGGCACTTGCAGATTCCGAACTTTGGAGGGGCCATGGCAGACAAGAAGGTGCAGTGAAGCTAGCGAATGGTCACTGCCGAATGCTGGCCGAAAGTGGCTGATGTGCCGCCGGTCGGGCAGCCACGTGTATGCTGCTACGACCCGAGTGTTTCACAACGCGTAGTAGATCGATGTAGATGTCAGACTTGCCGGCAGCCGAGCATCCCGCTGCTGCCGGGCTGTTGTTGGATCACAGATCGCTTCCCCGAGACAAGTTAACAACAGTTGAATAGCGAGGATGTTAAGCCTACCTGCCCAGAGCTGTCCGAAGCCTCATTTTGGAAAGGGATTGCTGAAGCGCAGGGCAGAGATTGCTGATGAACCGTTGGAGGTTTGGCACCCTGTGGTATTCCATTGTAAGGGCTCCTGAAGCATCACAGCGCCCCCTTGAAAGAGACCAGCAAAGTTGCACCACTCATGAAGTCGAGGTTGATCGTAATTAGTCGACCCATAATGGCTTCCAAAGTATGCAGAGAGTATGAGGCGAGGGATGCCTTGCAGCTCTTGGAAGAGACTCGGAGCTCTGCCGCTCAGCTGCTGACTAGTCTGTATAAAGAGGGCACACTCGCCATGTTGCAGCTAGTGTGCACGAAGCCTATGTAAGTGCAAGGCTTTCTGGCCTCCTCATCCATGGGAGCTTGCTGCATGCCTGGATCTCAGCTGAAAAGCCGGTGAGCATGACTTCATTCCAATCCGTCTGGTGCGCCCTTGCCTTGCCTCAAGCACTGGACTCCGTCGTGGACCAGCGACAAGTGGTTGAAGAAACGTATGCTGACGAGTGTAGTGGATTGTGGGATGAGAAGCAACCCTGACAAAGCCTTGAGAGCCTTATGTGTGTGTGTGTGCACATGCATCCCGGCCGTGTGCGCCATGCGGTGCCTCGTGCAAGCTTCGGTGCAAGGCTCGAAATCCAGCAATCGGTAGGCTCTAGCCCAAACTGGTGTGCGTGCGCGTGCGTTGGCCATCCTTTCACAGAGCAGACTTTCGAGAAGGTGAACATTCACTGGGCACAACACGAGCCCAAACCAAGAAACATAGACACATCGAAACCACCAGCCACATTCAGACCCTATAGTGCGTTTCATTTTGCATCATAGTCTATGGGTTGTGGTTGTTGTAGTGGCTGTTGGGGTTTGCTTGTCGCTTCAAGGTGTTGGTTGGTTCATTTGTTGTTTGTGAGTTTGCTTTTTCTTGTTGCCTGTTGCTGTTGTTTCTTGCTTCCCCCAACCAAACTCCATCGCAGAAGTTAGGGAGGTAAAGTAACTCGGGCGTTTGGATTCTGTGCGTCATCAGCTCCCCTCCCCTCGACAATGCGCACAAACCCCAAGATTTTTTTCGTCAATGCATGGGACCCCCCTCCGCGACTTCACAAGCACGCCAGCTGCAAACACTGTGCATCGCTGCGCTTTTGCATTTTTTCCTCAAGTTTCGGCGCGGGTTTCTCCCTCGAACAGTGGGAGCCAGGCCAGCGGCGTTTCTCGAGTGCCCGGCCTGGCTCTGCCGTGCTGGCGGAAGGCCCCCCATGGCGCTCTTTGCGCACTGGCATCTTACGTGAGACGATGACATGTGCGTTGCAAACGCATGCACACACTGTGCTCTCTGAGAGGTTTCCGGGCCCTGCGCGCACAACGCTTCGAGGATGCGCTGCGCTGCTTCCGGCTGTCGGGAAGCTCCTCTTCGCCCATACTGCAAGCGGCTGCGAGCAATGCTGCTTGCCAGAAGCATAGCAGATCAAATCATGAACTCGCCTCCTGACACCTGACAATGTCGCAAGCCGTGTGCATATGCAGCATGCACCCTGTGTCTGCTTTGTGAACTGCGAATCTTCTCTTTGCAAATGTATCGGCTGCCGTGCTTCCAGGCGGAGGGTCTCCTCTTACTTCGGAGTCCATTGCCACTTTCTCCAGCTCCCGGGACCGAAGAACGAGCGTTGCAAAAAGGCAGGATGTGAACATTCTTGGACATGGAGCGCATGTGAAAGGCACCGAGCCAACCCGCACGATGCGCTCCTTTGAGCATGTCGAGAGGTTCATTGGGGTTGGCTATTGCACGAAACTGAACTTCCTTCTTCGTCGGGGTTCATCTCGCAAGTTGCGTTCACGCGCTATCGCGCCCCTGTCCTCCCGACCCACGGAAACACCAGTATTAAAGTTGTACTACAATCCAAACGAAAATCCTCCCACGCCATCCCCGCGCCATTCACGCGAAATTGACGCGCCGTTCACCCGGTATCGTGCCGACATGTATCATGGAACCTTCCCAGCTTGATGACAAGGCAGAACGCTAAACAGGTTTTTCGCTACCGCCGCCACCACCACCACTACGACTACAACAATGACGACGACGACTGCTTTTTCCTACTACTCTACTGCTGCCGCTGCGCTGCTTCTTCTGCCACTTTATTACTACTTCTACGACGACGACGACGACGATTACAACTGCAACTGCAACTGCAACTGCAAAAGAAGCTGCTGCTGCTGCTGCTGCTGCTGCTGCTGCTGCTGCTGCTGCTGCTGCTGCTGCTGCTGCTGCTGCTGCTGCTGCTGCTGCTGCTGCTGCAACTGCTGCTGCTGCAACTGCAACTGCTGCTGCTGCTGCTGCTGCTGCAACTGCAACTGCTGCTGCCGCTGCTGCTGCTGCTGTACGAGAAAGACATCGAGCCCCGCTCTCCACTCCTGGAACGTATGAAATTGAAAACATCGCCAGTCACATGGTGTCTCAAACGTTTCCAGGTCTTGGACCGTCCAAAATCAATCAAAACCCTGGCAAATCATGGGGTGGCATGGCTGTCGTCACAGTGTCACTCTTTCAAGGCTTTTGAAGTGGTCCTAGATTGTTGAGGCCTAATGCCGGCAACAACGTTTCAAGGTTGTCGGGCACTACTTCTCGGAGCCAATCTCCGCATGGTGTCCCGACTCCTGAACAGCAAGAAAATGCTATGCAGCTGCCAGGTGATGTGGTGTTTGCCCCTTGGGCTGAAGATGGGTTTGACTATGAAGCAACCATCGACCACATCGATGAGGTGGGTGCACAGATGCTGAGTTCGTCAAGTTTCGGCTGAGTGCGCAGCTTCCTGCTTGCAGAAGGCTAGCGAGTGCTGCACAGTGAGCTGGGCAGACGGTGGGCAAACGTGTCGGGAAGATTCTTGGCCTCGTTGGTTGCAGTCCGGGCAGTGTCCTGCAGTTGCGTTGTGAAGCTTTCGCATGGGTTCCTTTGCCGGCTGTTGAGATACAGCCCAGCTAAGGTGCGTCTTCCGGCATTGATCTCGCCTCTCGGGTCTCCATGTGTCAACGCTTTACGACGGCGTCCACAGGAAGTTCGGCTGTGGGCTTCCAGGCGGGTTGTTGTGGGCATTTCACAAAGCAATCCAAGCTCCGAGCATGGCCAAGCTCCGCCAAGCTCCGCCAAGCTCCGCCAAGCTCCGCCAAGCTCCGCCAAGCTCCGCTGCGAGGAGAGCTCTGCGAGCGGCCCTCCTTGCCTGGCAAGCACAGGCCGAGGCCGGAGCAGCACATGATGCCTTTGTGGACCTCGCCGGCCGGTTGCCCAGATCATGGGTAGTGTTAGCATCCCCATCGAAATTGCCTGTGGGTTCTTTGAGGTCTCCTTTGTGATGTATCAGCAGCTGAATGCAGATTGGCCCTCGCTGTGCCTTTCTGGAGTTCTCCTGGCCTTGAGCTGGCGTGCCTCAGAGTGGCACCAGAGCGTCTGGACTGCTGCGAGAATGGCAAACGCTAGGAAACATTTTCTTTGCACCGCTCGAATCAGGCGCAATGCGCTGCAACGTGGTCGATTTGCAGCGGAGAGAGCCTACAAGCCGGATGCGCGTGCACTGGCGGTCTTATGTTCGCAGCGCGCGGAGATGCTGCGCTTGGAGCAAGGCCTCATGGGTGTCTGGGCTGACGTGTGCGCAGCTGAGTGTGTTGAGGAGGGCGCATTCTCTGTGGGGTTTTCTGGGGGCGGACGCTCTGCGGGATTGATTGCCGAGGCCGAGTTACGTCAGATACAGTGTCGAAACATCTGGGGATGGCTCACTGCCGGATTATCTGGGGATGCAGCGAACTCCAGGATCCTCTGCGCGATTCTCCAGGGATCTCTGCAGGATCTGCAGGATTCTCTGGGCACTTCAGGGATGCGGCATTTTTCGCAGGATTCTTGAGGCGCTGTAGGGACACTCTGCGGGGATTCTTTGCAGGATTTCCTGGTGTGGGCTGGGAAGGTTGTTTTTTTCCCCCACCCTTGGGGTCAAGTTGCTAGAGCGATTCTCGGTCTCCAGTATCCCTCGCTCTTGCCCACACGCATACTGAGTCCCCCTTGCACAGAATCCTGCAGAGTTGCAGAGAATCCCCGCAGAGTGTCCCTACAGCGCCTCAAGAATCCTGCAAAAAATGCCGCATCCCTGAAGTGCCCAGAGAATCCTGCAGATCCTGCAGATCCTACAGAGATCTCTGGAGAATCGCGCAGAGGATCCTGGAGTTCGCTGCATCCCCAGATAATCCGGCAGAGAGCCATCCCCAGATGTTTCGACACTGTATCTGACAGGTGGGGATGTGCGAAATAATGGTGTAAAGTAAAGGTTTCGTTAATTTCGAAAGATGATCCTAAAAGCGCTTCAAAGCATTCTTTTAAGCTAGTGTTTGACTTAGTGTGGTTGTCCGAAAGTCCTCGCCCGGGAGGCTCGCAGCTCGCGGACGTGCTGTCACTCCACGGGCGCGCGGCGGAGCACCTGGCAGCCGCGCACTGGCGCCGCGAACAGGAGAGCGCCGGTTGAGAAGCCACACTTAGAGCATGATTGACAGGGTTTGGGCAGCTGCGTTGCAATTGACCGCTGTCTTGTGTCCGTTAAGGTTTGACTTTTCTGCCGCACCATTTTGTGGCTAAATTTACGGCTCAGGTGATACCAGGCTTGAAAAGCAATGAGCAGCCACACCGGCACACAATTTAATTCATCCAGGTCCAACCCAGCAGTTCGGCAAAGGTTTTTTTTTTCACCATCGCCTCAAGCATCAAGGCTCCTGCAATTCAGGATTTCTTGTTGGCATCCAGTTTCGAGTCTGTTGAAAACCCGGTTACCCGCAATCATGCGAAGTTTGTGGCCCGGGGATCCTGGTTTGGAAAAAAAAGTTGTGTTAGGCAAGAAAAACGCTGAAGGATGGTTTTATAAAAATACTACGACCAACGACGACGTATACATCTCCATGAATGGCCCTTAAATTAGATTAAATAGGTTTCGTGATTGTGTTAGTCGGATCAGAAAGGCAATTCGAATCGTCGCGTGCTAGTTCTTCTACTATTTTCTCGTCAAGGAAACAACTAACAACATGACATAGGTCAGGTCATCGAATTCCGCATAGCTCAGCTTATCAGAGTAAATGGCCTCTATCCCATCATACTCTTCGTCTTGGCAGTTTGTCATTCGGTGGGGCTCTGGGTCCCGAGACGGTTTATCGCTCGCAGGGGCTCGCCTCAGAGGGACTCTGGGTCCCTAACCTTGCTGGTTTATCATTCTGAATCCCGAACCTCAGTGGTTTATCGTTCGGAGGGGCTCTGGGTCCTGAAGCTGGTTTATCATTGGGTGTGGCTTCGGGTCTCGAGCCTTGGTGGCTTATTCCCCTGAAGGAATTGCCGGTCATTGCCGGGTTCCTGGAATCCTTGTCTCCCTTTGTTTCCCTTCGTTTGTAGGTGGCTAGTGCAGGGGTTGGGCTCCTTGTCTCCCTTTGTTTCCCTTTGTCACCCATTGTGAGGGATATGTAATTGCCTTTTGTCTCCCATCGAGTGGGTGGCCCTTCATGTGCGTGGCCATTGCCGGGTTCCCGTTTCTTTGTCTCCCTTCATGTGGCTGACCATGGCCAGATTCCTGGTCTCCTTGTTTCTTTGTTTCCCTTTCTCCCATCATGTGACTCTGCCTCTGACGTTCTTTCCTCTCTCTCTCTCTCTCTTTCTTGCTTTCTCTCACTTTCTCACTCTCTCACTCTCTCACTCTCGCACTCTCTCGCTCTCTCGCTCTCTCACTCTCTCACCCTCTCGCTCTCTCGCAGACTCGCTCTCGAAAACATGAACAAAGAAACAATTGATGCATGCAGAACTACATTCAAAATGTGTATGAGCGCCTGCCTGAACTTGTATGTCTAGGCCAGTACTACAGTGGACACGAGTTGTTGGCGAACATCAATAAACCATGGAAAGCGATAGGGGTGCCGCCTAAGGCGATAACATTTGTTTGCACATGTAGATGCAGCAATCCTGATGGGGTCCAGTAATCCCATAGTATGTAAAGCGATGGGGGCCCCACGTAGAGCGATCACGTGGTATAATATATGTGAGCGTTTATGTAGACAGAATGTAGATAGAAACGTAGCTACTAGTACATGCAGTATGCCACAATTCATGGCCCTCGGCACTAGAGCAGCTTTGGTGAGGATGTTGTTGGCTGGCAAAATCCCTCCGGCAGCTTAAGCTGGGAGACCATACACCAGGCCTTGAAACATCGTGGGTTTTCTTCTTGGCAGACGACTTGAGCTGCATCTCCAAGGTTGTTGCGCATGTTTGAAGGTACTTTGGGCCAAAGCCTTGGCTTCACAGGCCATGACTCTTCCAGTCCATGATGCAAGTGACGAGGAGGCAATTCAGGGTTTGCGCATGTTTGCATTCTTCAATTTGCAAACCTGTCGCCTGTGTTCGTTCGAAGCCACGGCTGCTTGATAGCATGCCGTTCAGGTGGCAAGACCCCGCCCTTCTAAACGTACAAGGGCCACACGCAACTTGGTACAACCATGGCGAAGTGCAAAGCTTTGACGTCTTGCGACGTGGACTGCGAGGCAGCTCAATCGCTCCAAGATATGGCGTACCTCGGTTTCGACGGTTGCGGAGGCGCGAGGACATCCAATGGTCCTTGCCAGAAGCTTGGCTTCAAATGGTCTAAATGTGGGCGACAAGTGGAACAATGCCCTGTATCCCGCAAAGTGAGCCAGAGTGGGGAGACCCATATCAGGAGACTCAGAGATGTGAAAAGCCTAGAGTTTTCAGATGTTGCAGCACCTGCAGACCTGTACAGTCCTGCATGGTAAAGGAGAAGTTGCTGCCCACAACGCCGCCGCCCGGATTGCCTGCTGGACAAGACCCCATACTGCCGTTTGGCTGGAACATGCTAGAACATCTTGGCCCCCACTGATGAGACATCACTCTGCGTAGTCCCTTGAGGCAGATTCGCTGCCCAGCACGTGCCGCTGTGCTGCGTGCTTGGCGGGCCTTGCACTGGGCAGCAGGCCATAAAGGTGCCCTCGATCCGCTTCAAGTTGAGTCGCTAGCCGCACTCGCTGCTGCACCCCAGAACCAACGACGAATCCTATGCGATTTCCCTGGAGATGCTCTCTTGAACCTTGGTAGCATGGAATGAATGCCTGCACATTATGTCGCAATGTCACGCGACGCCTGAAAGTCAGGAATTTGTTTCGCGCCTCAGCGCAGAGCTTGGCAGCACCCGCAGCGCAGCGAACCTTCTCCTGGAGGCTCAGAACATGGAAAACATTGGACATCGTTCATGGATTGGGAGCAGCTGCAAGGTTGCTGTGCTGACTTTTGTGATGGGCTGCAGGCCCTGGGTGCTTCACGGCTTGTTTGTTTTCGTTCTATAACAAGTTTAGGAGAGGCATTGGGAGGCAAGTGCATCGTACTCGTCCATCCGGCGAGTTGACGTAAGGTGCCGATGCGCGCAGATCAACGAACATGGAAACACGTGTTCGTGAATGTCCCTGCGCTCGCAGCGATGCCTATTTGCACAATGCGCTGGCATGTGAGGCTTGGCAAGCCGGCCAAAGCAAAGGCCATTGCCCTGCCGCTTGCCGTAGCCGCAGCCCCTCGGATCACAGAGCTGTGCGATGCTGTGCGCCGAGCTATCGCGAGAGCGGGGCTCGCCGGATCTTGCAGGGTCGATGCTTGTCGTAGCAGGTGAACACATTCACGGCTCTGGGCCCGCAGCCGGACGATGCTGCCAGCTCGGCACGCCATATGGTGGAGATCCTGGCGTCACAGGTGCTCGGATGTGCTCGGGATTGTCGGAATCTGGGCAGTGTGTCTGGACAGACATGAGCATTATGGGACATGATGGGACTCGACAGTCATGGATGCGGTTCGCAACAGTAGGCAAAAGGTCCAAGCGCCAGGCAGTCATCCAGAGACTTGCATTGTTTGAAGGAACTGCCGGCGCATGAGGTGCCGAACAGTGTTTCTTGATGCAATGTTCATTGTTGAAAGGGCTCTGGCTTAGAACATTTCCATTCTGCTCAGCAGGCACAGCAACAATGAGCCTCGCATCTTTTACAAGTTTGAGAACTCGCTGCATGTGAGGTTCTATCTTGGGAGACCCTCGAGCTCAAACAAAGTCATGCACGCTGGCGGCTGGTAGGCCTTCTAGGGTAGCCGCGTAGCCACACTGGAAGTATTCAACAACTCTCAGGCTCTTCGAAGCAGCTTGCCTGCAGGTTACCGTGCCCGTGAAGAAGTTTGGCTGCTGCGCCGAGGGAGGAGGCGCTTAGCTGCGTTGGCAGCGCCCACACCGCTGACTTGGTGCCTGGAGGCCGATGTGAGTGCGATTCCCTTGCTTTGCTGTTATTTCCTTGCTTTGCTGTTTGATGTCTATTGCCGTACACAGTGGATGGGCGAGATCAAGGCGAAATGTTTGTCGGATTTTTCCTGAAGCAGTTACTGTGCACCATCTCGCAACAGCAGCTATTGTGTACCGTCGGTGTGTTCCCACCGGCAGGGCATGGCGTTGGCACCTCGACTGCACACGAGCGAGAAATGTTACAGCCTTCGCCCGACAGTGGTCCGCATAAGACAGCATGTCAGAGATGCGTAGTTCTTTCAGCCATTTGAGGCCGAGACGATGCCAGACTTGGATGAGAAGGACCAACAATCGCCATAGCTTGCAGCATCCTTGTGATGGCCAGACCTTTCGCAGGCTGTAGGCATGGCCCGTTGTGGTGCTTGTTGTGTTCCCCTCTCCCGTGAGGGGGGTGTGTGTGTGTGTGTGTGGGGGGGGGGGGGGGGTGGTTGATCCATGAACAACACCCTTCCCCCCTTCCACCCTCCCTATCAAGGGGGTTAACGAGAACTGCAGTTGTCGGCACAACAGATGCTACAGGGGATACTGTGTGGGCCACCGCTACGGGAGCCAATGGCTTCACCCTGTGATACAGATGCTGGCGATGCTTTTTCCTAGTCGTGTACATAGCTCTGACCGCCTGCCACGCTGCCATGACTGCAGGGATCGTGCCGCACTTGTGGCATCGGGTGTCTAATTCACCAACAAAATTGGAGCCATGCTGTCAATGGCATCTGAGTGTGGCGAAGTACGTGTGCCTGTCCGTGTTTCATGCCAGTCTTGCTTTCTCGTGATTGACCGTTTAAGCCTATTCAAAGAGGGCACCATCTTAATCTTGACAATGCAGACCTGCTCGCCCAGGTCACCGCCTTCTTGCCCTGTCACTCTGCCGAGCCGGACTGCCATGCAGTTTTGCCGGGCAACAACTCATGCAAAGGGGTGGCAATGGTTTTTCTAGTTGCTGAAATGCCTCTATTGGATGGTGAAGTGCAGCGCGAAGTGGAGAGTCATCAGGGCTATATTCAACATTTCAATTGGCTTCTCGTAGGACGGCCAGCACGTGCGTTGGGCGAGCTGCAGGATGCGGTTGCTATAGTAGACTGTCCCCTGCTTGCGCTTGACCAGGTTTTTCTGAACGTTGCAGCAATTTACACCAATTTACACCTTTCCGTTCTGTTTTGCCACAGGGCTTGGGGCAGCTGTTGGTCGACACCCCTGGCTTACTGGCGGACCTGCTGCATCAGGTGCGATGCTCGAGAGTTTGGAAAGCCTGCTTGTCTTCCGACAGCAAGGAACTGCATGTTGATCCGAAGACTGACACAAGTGGTTTCCAGGATGTACAGGTGCTGCAGCTTGAGGTTGAGGTCGCCCTTGACGTCAAGCACTTGGTCTTGTGCATGCGAGACTTCTGCCAAACGATACCCTGACTTTGGCGAGCAGGAACTACGCAGCTGAAAGTAAGCCCATGGGACGCAAGCAGACTCTGCAAACCAGTAGCCGGCTCGAAGTCAATGCTCCATGGCAGAGTGGGCTAGGGAATGCGAGTTTTGCGCGTTGATTTCATACACAAGAATCAGCAGAAGTCGCGAGCCCATAGTTGGCAGTGCTGAGAGCTCAAGCCGACTCAAGCAAACCAATGAGTTGGGGCCCCGGCTTTGTCGCATTTTGCCGCATTAGCTTGGAATAGACTCACGAAGGGAGGGGCCAGCTCTCTCACCTCTTGACAAGTGCCCCATGGAATGGCGTCAGATGCCTCCGAGTTCTTCAGCCCTGCACAGATTCAGTTCCTGGACAAGACTCTCGGCGTAACTAAGTTGGCGTTTCCGGAACCCACCCGATGTTGAATCACTGCAGGCTCCCAGCTGTAAACGTGCAGCATCATGCCGTCATGTGACACTGCAGGTTTGCGGCCGTTGCAGCCGTGCTGCTTGCGGCGTGGGCTTATGCAGACAGTGCAGCCCTGTTCTGGACATTGCTCCTCGACAACGCTGGAAAAGTCTTTTTGTGCATGCCCATGAAGCGAGACAGTTGTGGAGGAAGCTCTGCAGTTCTCATTGAGGTTCCTATCTCTTGCAGCCCTCAAGCTGTGGTGGCAACGAGCCGAATCGAAGCCATCAACCAACCAAAGCACCTCACAGAGGCGCGATGGTCAGAATAAGAAAAGAAGAGAGACGTGAGCTGGTGCTGGTTACAACCAAATTCAACATTCATGAGCTGCGGCATCACCACGACCCTGATGAAGCTTTCTAGTGTCGCACCACAGGCAGTCAGTAGACCCAGACAGACATTGGGAGTTGCTTGGCAGCTCGCAGAAACCAGGAACCTTGCGTGTGGACGACTGTCGGAAGCACACGAGGACAGTGCTGGCAAGGTCCTTGCATCTAGGGGTGAAGCTTATCTGTGCAAAAGTATGCATGCAAATGTACGGGTGAATGCGCCCGAAGCTACCCTCAACCTCTTAGGCATTGCAGAAATGTGCCTAGGGTTAGTGATTTTGGTCGGCACACGTGTTAGACTTTGCTCCTATGGTCGCTAATTCCTTAAGCCACGCTTGGTGGGCTGTTGAGCCCTGGCTACAGCACTTCCGCAGACACCTAATCAACCGTTTGCAACTCACTGCCTGCGCGCGTGCGTGCGACCGATCAGATCTTGATCGTTTGATTAAATTGCCCATGCCACGTATGCCTGCAATGTCGAACGTTTGAAAGTGTCCGCCGCCAGCTCTGTCGATCCATCCATGTCATTGTCCGTGTCCATGTGCATGCCTGTGTCCATGCCGATCCATGGATAAAACCCTCGTGAACAGTGCTGCGGGTATCCCGGAGGAGGACTTGGATGCAGCTGGCGCGAAAGCGGCAGGGGTGCCGGCGCAGCGACTTGACAAATCAGCAGCAAGTGCAACAACAACATACAGTTAATGCGTTGCACTTGCTTTTGCGGTAGATTGGGAGTTATGGCTGGGTCTTGAAGGCGTAAATCTTCTCAGAAGTGGTCTCAGCAGACATGTCATGCAGCAAGCTTTGCTTTTGCTCGTGCTCATGGCGTGCAACTGCCCTTGGAAATGCTACCGGGGCTGGTGACTATTCGTGTGAAGCCTTTAAGTTCAGCTTGAGCTACCTGCTGTCAACCTTGCCTGGCTCGTCCTCGAACCCTTGTCACTAGCATTCAAAGCAGTAACTAATCTAGGAGTGTCTAGGAGTGGAACGAACTCAACTGCGCACAGCTGCAAGCTCGAGCGACTTGAAGCCTGCATGCGAAAAGCAGGTCGCAGGCCCAGAGTCGAGTCAGCTTTGAGTTCTAGAGCCCCAACACGGAAGCCTGTTTAGATCTGTTTAGCAGCTTAACAAGAGGATAAGACGCAAACGAGAGCACAAGGGAAGCGATGACCGGCAGGCACGTGGCGCAGGTGGCCGAACTTGGACGGCGAGTAAGCTCGAGGGGTCAGAAGGAGCCTCTTTGCGACCCGCCCCTCGAGCCGAAAGTGGTGGGGAGTAGTTGACAACATTGTTGGCACATTGTGGACATGTTGTTGCCACAATGCGCTTCTGGTGCTTTTGGCGCCGCACTCTCCAGACCTCTCTGCCGAAAGACTTCAAGAGTAGCGAACCGAAAACGGAAGAGTACAGCTCAGCAGAGTACAGAAGCGTAGATGCAGTTCCCATGTTGTGCCGATGTCCTTAAGGTTGATGTTGCTCCGTGGCCTGGCTGCGTGTGATCCCTGTGACCAGCCTGTGACGCTTGTCGCACGGATGTGAAAGCAAACTGTTTCAGCTGGTGCTGAGGCTTTTTGAAAGCACGTGACTTTGACGTGGGTGAAGCTGTGCGCATGTATCGGGAGACCATCAGATGGCGAGCGAACTTTTCTATCCAGTCCGTCTCCAGGCTGCAGAGCATCTGAGTACAGTAGCCATCACCACAATGAAAGGATCAGACAAATAGATAGCGACCCCCACGGTATTTTCAACGTCCTCATGCTGGATCGAATTGACAGCCACCTGTGGAACTGGAGGGCCTAGATCCATCACCACACGTACACAAGTCACGTTTCAAGTCGCTATTGAGCGTGGGGTATGTTTGCGGAATACCCCGATTCTGGCCTAACAGAAGCCGAAGAGTCTGCTGTCTGCTTCGTGATTGCTGCGAACGATCCTAGAAGGGGTCCACACCAGCCACGGATCGTCGGGCTGATGGTGTGTAAGCTTTAGGACGTTGGGCGTCCGAAGAGAGTGTTCTAGAATTGAAAGTGCCCCGCATCCTAAGGTGATGATGATATTTGGGGCTGGTGAGACCTACACTTTGGACGGCAATCGTGCGACTGAAGATGCGACATCTTGGCGCTGGCATCCCGAATTGCATTCTCGCGAAGCTTCCCTTACGAAGAAGTATGGCCTCCTAGTTGCAAATTGACATCAAGATCTCAATCTGTACAAAACGCACTCCTCAATTTCTAAGCCCACCATGCTTCTAGTTTTCAGGATTTTTTGGCCGCCTTTCGCAGCGGAGCCCTGGTGGAGAGCCTGTGGCGATATGGCGATTGGGTGCTGCCGATTTGGATGGGTACCTTGTGTGTGCATTTTGGTGCGTTCTCCGGTATCCGTGCTGTAGTCATGCATAAGCAAAGTAACGGGGTAACGGTGGGTCACTGCTTTGCTGTGTGTAAGCTTGCACGCAGCTTGTGGTGCTTTAGGAGGAATGGCTAGCTGACGAATGAATCCCGTGTTCTCAATGCGGGTCTCTTATACATAGCGGTGCAAATATCCCTGTCCTTCTGGCGCTGTCATTTATTTTCATTCCATGGCTTTTTCCGATGGAAGTGTCACTACCCATTACCCATTCTTAACACTTGGCACTTGGCAAGAGGGGGGGGGGGTGGCGGCGTAAACAGCCATTCCAATATGCAAGTGCGAATTAGGTGCATATCGGTCCTGTCGAGATTGGGCAGCGTTGAGCCGTAAGTGCGAGGAATGCCCCACCAGATAGTGTCCATAGCCAGCGATTTCAAACGAGGGAAGGAGGGAAGGCTTAAAAGGCGGAACTCCTGCCTTGATTACCACAAGACGCCGAGTCGCCAAAAATCCGGATGGCCGAAGAACGCGGCGCCCTGAAGATCAACCTCTCCCGAGCCTCTTCCACCGCTGCGCGGCGGAAGGAGGTCAGGTTTGTGCGACTGGGTGATGCCAGCGGTAGCCCAGGAAGAAAATCTTCTTGAAGCCAAAAGGGGGTGCAGGCTTCCCATAAACTATTCTGAAGGAGTGTGGAGGAGGATGAGCAATGATGAACACATGCGTTGGACTTCCTACTTTTTCCCGTCATGCAGGTGATTTGGGGCCTGAGTGTGGGGTACTGTCATGACTCATCTCATTTCGGTTCAAGTCAATGCATTAGTAGGGCCTTTGGCCATTGGCGCGGGGCCAGTTTGCGGGTGGGGCCTTTCAAACACGGCCAAGGACACTACAGCCCTCTGTGGGTAGGTAACCCAAAACCCCCCGAAAAATTTTCGGCAACACTTAGCCATTTCAGGAAGCACAGTTTTCTCATGTTTTCTCTGATATAGAGGTTGAGTTTAGGGTCGGGAGTCCCGGCGGTGTGATGATTAACTTCAGAAGGCCAAACTGGTTTCTAGATTGGGGATTGCGGTCGGGGTTCCGGGCAGTGAAGGCAGTTCTCCTTCAAATCCGCAGATTCTTCGCACCAGCGGCGCGTTTCGAAACCCAAAGAAGCGAAGTGTAGCGTGGTGTGCAAGGAAGGCGAGTTCACTTGGACTCAGGGACTCAATCGTAGTTTATATGCCGTTCTGACTTGATCGAACTCAACCAGTGTCGAGCCACTCAGCCCGCGGAATCAGAGCAGGTGAAGCCGCGAAGCCAGCATGCCAACATTCGACCACAAAGTAAAACAAAGAGACCCAAGATGCCTTGAAATTGAGAGCCGTACACGGCAGTCAGAAGCATAGCGATCAAGGAAGGGAGGAAGGAGGGAGGAAGAGTGCAGGCCTTGGTGTTGCAGACTTGTTGAAGCATGCCTGTGATGACTGCTGTCAAAGGTATGTGCGCGAGGACTCCGAACTTGGAGGGGTGCCGTTGGAGTCCGACTCTGCAACTTGATACTGTAAGAAGCGGAGCCACGGCAAAACAAATGAGGACCTCGTGTCCATCATCACTCGTGGCTTTGTGTCCCATCTCGAGGACGGTGGTCGGCCGAGCTTGTCAGCATTCCTGTGATAGACAAGTTGTTGAATGCTAATTACGCGCCGCCCCAGAAACAAATTGAGGAGCCCGATTACGCAAGGCATGAGCGGCAGGCCTACCCATAAGCATGGCCCTTAAAAGTCTTAAAGAGGACGCTTCCGGACCTGCCAAACAGTCACTGGACCCTG